CGCGCCGGGAAGCGGAAGTCAGCGCGGCGCGGAAGGGACGGGGCCGTCCGGGGACCGAGTCACCGAGGGTGCTGGCCCCTAGTCCTTCCTGGGAGGCTTTAAGTTTACATTCTAATCAAATAGGAAAGTACCGGAATGGTAGCCATGAAACAAGCTTATCGCCATGTTTTTGTTGTTGTTGTTGTTTAAGTTTCCAGTCTACTCTCCCAAAGAAACGCACCCCTAACGGTGTACCAGAAAGTACATATGAAAATTTAACTCCAACTCAGCTTCTCTGGTTTTTTAATCCTAATGGATTATAGATTACATCTGTGGTTCTCTGGTGTTGTATTAAAAAGCTGAAAAAACTCACAGAAGCTGTAGTAATTTTCTTCAGTCCTCTAGCTAGCAGCTGCTCCGCCGGAAGGGTCCTGTTCTATGTTGGACAGCTACTGTGTGTTAGCAGGCAGCCCACACCTTCCTGTGTTGATTTTCATATCCTACATTGTTTTCTCCGTTAAGACATAGTGTGTGCAGGGGGACAGGGGATTGTTTGTTTTGTTTTTTTCAACTTTCAGCTTTGTTTGGATTATTGACATTAACTGAAGTGATTTGAACTACAGCTCAGTGACTTATTTGACATGGTGTGTGCTAGTGCTTACCACGGCTGCACAGGGGAATAGACTTTTCTGGCCATAAGCGGATTTTATGAACGTACCAGAGCACCCAAAAAGTGGGTCACACATTAACATCAGCACTTTAAAATGCGAGCTTATGGGACACATTTTAACGACAGAAACAAGCCAGGGGTGTTTTGTGACTTATCTAAAGTGACATGTCACCCAACAACTTGGAACCTATGGCCATGCCATCTGGCCCAGTGGCTTTTACAGATTAGAAAAAGGAGGCCCATTGGAAACCTAATTAAAAACAGACCCAAAGTTCCTGGTAGAAATTAGAAAGAGGTCCACCTTTGGAACCAAAATGCTTGTGTCAAAGTCCACGTGTGATCTGTAATGAATCATTAACCTTTCCTAAACCCCAACCTGGGACAACTCTGTCCTGGGTGTCTTCATGAAACCCCTTTGTTCCCTGAGGCTGCTGGAGCAAACCACTTTCCTACAACTGGTATCCCAGGTGGAGGTTTGCCCCTTGCTGAGCCATCAGTCCCCAACCTAATGCTTTTTCTTGTCCTTCTTTAGCCCCTTCTTCTCTTGTCTGCCAAGGGCCATTCTGAATGCTGAGCACTCCTAAACCAAGCCTTCTGCCTTTCTCCTTTCCTCCACCTCTCCTTGACAAACCTCAGCCCTAATTCTGTAAACTGGGAAACAATCAAGATTTTGCTTAAAATTTTAACGCCCATTCTACAAAGTTACCTTTTACTTACAAACTCTTATTCATTTGTCCTCAGGCCGATTTGCTCTCTAATTGATCTCCCAGGCTGTCAGGTACAAAGGAGGATCAGTAAAAAAGCAAGTCGTAGAGAGGTCGAGTCACTTGCCTGAAGTTATACAGGCACTAAGAGAAGAACTGGATTCAGCAGAGTTCTGTCCAGCTCAAAAAGCTGTGTTTTTAGCCACCTTACTGTGCAGTACTCTCCTAAGAAGTCTTCCTTTTCAAAGCTTCCTCCTTCCAGGAATAGATCTCCTCCTAGAGGGCTGTAGAGTGCTTGCCTAGCACATGAAAGGCCTTGAGTTTGAGCCCTAGCACTGCAATATTTTCATAAATGTCACTTCAGTGGTGCCACTGCCTGACCTGCAACACAAGGTCCTGAGTTCAATCCCTGTCACAAAAATAAATAAATAAAATCACTTCAGTAGTTCAGAATCCAACATTGGCTTAAAAAAAAATCTGTCTTTAGGAACAGAGAAACAAGTATACAGCTGATAAAATGTTTAACATCCTCCAGGTGCACAGAGAATTGATGGAAAATCATCGGGTTAACACTAAATTAAGAAAGTATTCGTGTCAACTTTGTTCCATGGTAGTTCCCTGAAACTCCTGTGACCTCTTGAGAGTAGTTTTTAGTTTGGGGGTTTCAAGAATTCAGGACCCAGGCATACCAGGCAAATGCTTCCCCACTGAGCTACGTCACTAGTCCCCTAGAGTGGCATTTTAGAGACATGGATCACTGCTCTCCAAATACGCTGGGGAACCCCACAGTGTTTCAGAGGTAGGTTCAAAAGAGTAAATGAGGCAATGCTCTGGTCTCTCTGCCTCAGGTAGCTGTTTGCTGCACTTGGGCTTGCACAACCCGAGCACATCACTTGGGCTGCCTCTGAGATGGGTGGCAGATATGACACAGGTAGGAGGACAGACAGATTGGTCATATGGAAAAGCAAGCCTTTGTGAAGGTAACAGAATTTCACAATGCAAGGGTTAATGACATTATAAGGAGAACAATTTCACAAAACATGTTCATGAGAGTTGCAAATAAATGAAAAAACACAAAGCATCCGCTAGTTCAAACGCACTTTTAGTTAATGCTGGTGAAGAGATGGTTTAATTACATAATTCAACTCCTATTAAATTCTCTTGGCTGCTGTTAGAACTTTTGTTGGCCACTCCCCTAAATCTTGTTTAGAATCAAGTAGAATTTGTAATTTGAATTGAAATAAAGAAACATGGATTAGTGTTTCTGTCAAATTATGTAGAATAAAAAGGATAATTTTATATCCAATGAAATAGTTATTAGAACAATATGTAAAGGGAGCAATATCTTATTTGTCTTTTCCTTGGCAACTTTCTAATGGGTAACAAAAAAAAGAAGAAGAAAAGTCAACAGACATGCATATTTTATAAGCTTTAGATTTGTAAAGTATATGTTTTTAAAAGACAAAATTTATAATAGCAAAATTTAGGGAAAAAGCCCATGAATGATTATAATTTTATGGGTTACAGTAAGGGGAAATACTATGCCACAACTTTAAAAAGTCATTTTTCACATCATATAGTTTAGAAAAAAATCAGCTGCAAGTTACAGAATGCCCAAATAACACTATATTAATTTTGAATAGAAAAATCTACAGTAGGAGTGTGCCAGTTAATCTAGATCGGCAATTTGACTGGATTAACAGATTCCTGAAGAGGTGATTGAACTATGAGGACAGGAACTTCAGCAATGGGTTTTGTGGATGAGATCATAGGTTGGAGAAAGTGGGTCATGAGGTTTAACTTTGGGGACTATATTTTGTCCCCCTGGTCACTGTGGAACACAACCCTGGCAGTGCAGTAACACGGGGATCTGAGTGCTAGGAACCAAATAGGGGAACAAATTCTGCAGGCAGTGGACATTTTGTAGCATGGTGCCCTGGGCTCTCTTCTCAAAGTAGTCTCTCACTTTTGGGATTTTGAGTTGAGAAGGGTAGGATTTACTGGTTTCTCATATTCCCTCAAGACATTTTTCCTGTTGTCCTGTTGTAAAGTACTTGATTTCTTTTTAGTGTTCATTTTTTCAGCAACAAGCTTTCTGTTTTGTGCCATCTTTGCAAGCCCTAACTCTATAGGAGTTTCCTTTCTAGTGAAACTTAAAGCTTTTAAAATTATTCAGCTGTGCCTTTTGCTCTTAATTCTCAAGGTAGATCTGGCTAAAAGCCCCCAACAATAGCCATGCCACAGCCTTGACATTAGATTACCTTGAAATTTCTTCTGCCAGATTTAGTCAAATCCCTCTAGTCTCAATCTCGCTTAAAACCTCAGCACATTAGCAAAATATAGACAAATTTTCTTCTAGGGCATAACGCACATGGCTTGGAGTCCAAATACCAATGAATTCCTTCCCAGATGAAACCTTTTGAGCCTGGTCTTTCCACCTGCATTACAGTCAGCATTCTGGTTTTCTGAGCTCTGAATAGAATCTCCCATCAAACACAACTCATTGCCTTCTAGGGCTGCTTCTCCAGCCAGCATCTCCAAATCTCTCCAAATTTCTCCGGCAAGGCAGTGCTAAAGGCTTTTGTTTATCTTTTATTGAGTTTATTGGTACATTTTAGGGATACAGTACAATTACATTCATTATTGGGATCTTGTACCTTTACATGACAGGTCTTTTTTTTTTTCTTTTATTGAGTTTATTGGTACATTTTAGGGATACAGTACAATTACGTTCATTATTGGGATCTTGTACCTTTCCATGACAGGTCTTGGTTCTCATTTTTTTCCCCTTGTCCCTGCCCTCCCTTCACCCCCTCCTCCCCTCCCCTTTTACAAACACTTTATTTCCATTTTTTCATTTTGTCATACTTTTTTCTTTTCCCTTATTACCTTTCCCCTACCCTTCCCATTTTCCTTACACCTTTAGCCCTTTTCTTCCTGTTTCACATGGTCAATTATCTCATTAGGATTTTATGTACTATTATAGCTTTTCACACCAGAGAAAGTAAGTGCTAAAGTCTTTTGAATAAAGGTAGCATCACAGTAATGACTTCACTTCTCTGGTACCAAAATCTGTATCAGTTATGGTTCAGTGAGGAACAGAATGTGTGTGTGTGTGTGTGTGTGTATGTGTGTGTGTGTGTGTGTGTGTGTGTTTACACAACAGTTACCTGCAGAGTCAGGTGTGGAAAAATGCAAAAAGGCAGTCTGTGTGCTGAAGAGCCAAAGAATCCAGTCAAAGTTTGAAGAACAGGAGCTTGATGCAGAGTCCTGTGTGAGTCCATATCAGGAAGCCAAAGGGTCTGGGCTGGAAGGCTGAAGGTGGATGTCCAAAGGCAATAGTGAAGACTGGAGCTCCTCCAAAGACGCAGACAAGAATTCCTTCTTCTCTCCCTTTTATTCCATCAGGCCACAAGCCTATTTGTTGGTACCACTCACACCTAGTGTTGGTCTTCCCTCTTCAGCAAGTCCACCGGACGTACCCAGTATGATGCTAAACCAATCAGCTGAGCATTTCTTATTCAAGTTGACACCACAGTTAACTGTCACACAAGACATGGTGGCACAGACCTGTAATTCCAAACCACTCAAGAAGATGAGATAGGAGAGTTAAAAGTTCAAAACCAGCCTGGGCAATTCAACAAGACCCTGGCTCAAGATAAAAAATAAAAAGGGCTGGAAGTGTAGCTCAGTGGTAGAGGATCCTTGAGTCCAATTCCCAGTACAAAAAAAGCACGGGTTAATAAAAGAATAAATAGTGGATTTACTAATGTGCACAAGCACAGGAGTCATACAAAATAAAAGCCTCAAAGGAGGCCTGATGGTTGATGATTAGTGTTCTCTTTGTAGGGCAGAGGACAGAGGTTGAAGCTCTTTTGGAGGCAGAGTGGATGATTCTCAGGGAAGAGAGTACATATGAAGGACACAGCTCCCCTGGACTAGGATGTGCTGATTTACAGTCGTCCTCTCTGATGCAAGTTTAGTCTTCCCTGGTTGATGACAGGTCAGTAAGAAGATCTGAAGGAGCATCTGTCATAGGGAGATGAGGGACCTACAGGGAGAGTCTTCCTGTAACAGTTGCACTCCCGATGCTCTTCTGGTGATGTTCAAAGTGGCAAAGTGTAGAGTATCCTTTCCTCAACTCCCGATCAGTGTGAGCTGTAGTCTCAACCAATTTTGCCTGTGGAAATCCCTGCTATTCACCGAATTCTGTCTTGGGCATAGCCCCCTTATGATTCCTGTCCAGATCTCTGATTCTTCTTAACAAATCAGGGTACTCCTACCTATCAGTAACTTGCCTTTATAGCATCTGTCCAGGACTAGACACTGCGACCACACCAAGAGCTGGAAATATAGATGTGAAAGAGAAAACAACTAGCCTCAAAAAAATCTCAGTCTATGTAGAGAAGGAAGCAATAAGTAATTATAATTCTGGGAGACATGCAGCAAAAGAAGTGCAGTTAGGGTGGTGTTTGTGTTGTCAAATTGCCATTGCTGTGACAAATACCTGAGATAATCAATTTACAGGAAGAAATGTTTATTTTAGCTGACAATTTTAGAAGTTATAATACATGGTCAGTTGGCTCCTTTGCTGTAACCTTGTGGTGACAGAGAACTTCACAGCAGGGAACACGTAGAGAACCGAGCTGCTCACCTAATGGCAGTCAGGAAGCAAAAGAGAGGAAAGGCTGAGTCCCGGTGTGTCCTTCAAGGACATGGTCTCAGTGACCTAATTTCCTTCCACGAGGCCCCACCTCTTAAAGGTCCTACCATCCTACCACCTCTTAAATTGTGCCATAGGCTTGGGACCAAGTCTTCAATATGTGAGTCTTTGGGAGATATTTATGACTCAAACCTTAATGTGTGTCATCCCAGAAGAATGGAAAATAGTTTCAGGGTAGGTTTTGCAAGGCAAGTGGCCCTTTGTTAGGAGGGTGAACTTCAAAGGCAGATCACTCAGGCTCTTAGTTACAACCACCAAAACGTGATGTGGCACAAAAGCAGTTGATTAAAGGGGTATTGGGTAACTCTTAGGATCGATGGATGGGGAAATAGGGCTCCATGAAGAGCTTCCTCGAACAAGACCCCAATGCCCTGCAGAACTGGCCTTCAGAACTGGCCTTCAGAACTGGCCTGTCACAGGCCCACAGAGCTCCAGAGATTGCAAATTGTGCCATGCCCTCTCTTGTGCCAAGACCACTGCCTAGTAGCTGCTGTTTCTCCAAAGCTGGGCACTTTCATTACCAACTTTGCCTGATAAATCACTTCCACAAGGTGTCACTGCCTCATATTTCTTATTTCCTAACTAATATCCAATGGAGACACCAGCTATGGATGTGGCCTAGCTCAGAGCCTGTGCCTTGCTCTGCAGAGGAAGTTGGTAAGGTGTTACTTTAGCTTTTGTCTTGGAAAGGCACAGCTCATTCACGTTAGGAAATTCCCTTAGCTTAGACAATGTATTCAAATAATGCTAAGCACCTAGAAAACATGACATGGGCTTACTCTGGGAAGGTGGAGCATTCCAGCCAGGGGAAGAGACATAGGGGCCTAAAATCACAGGTGCCTTTGTTGACCAATAAGCAGAGCTGTTCAGTGGAGGACTCAGCAGGGAGCCTGGGAGACTGGGTTGGGGAGTAATTTGCAGAATTCTCATAGCCCTGGGGCTCCAACAGCAAGGGCCAGTATTTTCTTGTATTTTATTTCATGTCCCCTGCTGAGAGATGCAGGAACATTGACCTGCTCCTGCCAGGCTTAGTCCTGCTTCTAGAGAGTTCTAGTCACTATCATTACAATACATCTACTGGATTGCACCATCACAGAATCTACCACCATGAGAAATGCATGCCTACAGTCTCTCTCCTCTCTGTCTGTCTCTCATGTGCACATTTACGTGTTTTCCTATGTCCAGGTATCTGTTGCCACAGCCTAATCTGTCTATGTGGTATACTTTTCTAATATCTCCTTTGCTTTCCTACAGAAAGTATTCAATTACAAACTCTTATGGCCACATTCGCATTCTTTGACAGTGGGTTTTAATTAGATGTAAGATCAAAACCACTTTTGAAAGTGGCAATAAAATGCTTTTTGTAAAATGAGACGAACAATCCATCTCACAGTAAAATAAAAGAAAAGCAATGCCAAAATGCAAGCCTTTCATAGTGTCAAATCAATCTTCCAAAATTAGCAGTATAAGCATTTTATATATTTTTTAAATGTACATAGCCAGGCATAGGAGCACATGCCTGTAATCTCAGTGCTGTAAAAAGCTGAAAAAAGAAGAGCACAAGTTGGAGCCCAGCCAGAGCTACATAGCAAGTTTGATGTCAGCCTGGACTACAAAGCCAGACTCTGTCTGGAAAATGAAAACAAAAACAAAAACAAAAAACAACAACACACAAATACACACCCCAAATAACTAAGTAGAAACTGAAACCCCACTCATAATTGGTTCTATGTCTTAGAAACACTTTTTATTCCTCATTGAGTTTATTGGTACATTTTAGGTATACAGTACAGTTACATTCATCATAGGGATCTTGTATCTTTACATGACAGGCCTTGGTTCTTCTCATTAGAAATACCCTGTAGATCCATTCTTTCCTTCAGGCTCTCCTTTCCATACCTCATTTCACATATGAAAGGGCACAGATATTCCCCCTTTGAGTCTTGGGGATCAGCAAGCTCCTCCGTCTAGCCTGAGAGCTGCTTTCAGCTCGGGACTTTATGCAGTACTCTGAGCAACAGGTGCTAGGCTGACCATACCAACCGGAGCAGGGTGGGTGATGCAAGCAATGGCAAAACAGTTGCCTCAGCAGCCACCTCACTAGGCTGTCTCAACTCCAAGGTATTCAACTCTTTCTCCTTCTCTCAGGATTTTTTCTTTTTTTTTTTGTCACCGTAGTCAGTGGATATTTGAAGATTATCTCAGTCCCATTGAGGAGAATCGCCTTCTATAAACCAGAGAAGACAATGAAAGCAGGAGGGCTTGGTTTTATATATTAAGGTTGTATGTATTATATCGACTACTTAACATGTAGTTTTAAAATTATGCTTGTGATTTAATACCAAAAAGGGTAACAGGTTGCTAAGTAGGATTCTCCTGTCCCACACTGGTGATAGGGACCAAATGTTAGGGGAAGAGGTGCTAAATAGTATGCTCTCTAAAAAGAGCTACCACAGGGGTGCTAATAATGCATCTTTCTAGGGCTAATAAAGGTGACCTGCCACCTGCCTCATCTATCAGGTTGGCACTTCTTGCCAAGGATCCTGCTACCTCTAGCCTATGTTAGGACAGGAATTCAGGTGGGTGAAGGGAGTATTTGTCATTAATCAAAGGCAAAGTCTGTGAGGCAGGGAGAGTTAAGGGCTGTATCCTAAGACCTATTCTTTCCCTTTTACCAAATCAAAGGGGCCACCGAAAGATTGAAGGGGATACATTCAGCTCTCTCCACTGTGGTATGCTTGTTGAACCACCACACCTGAAGCCAGATGGGGTGCAGTGACTGCCCAATCAGAGCTGAACACCAGTGGGGGGTCTTGGGAGGGCCTGGTGGGGGTCAAGGCACAGCTGGAGTATGGGGGTCTCCCGGACTAAAATCTAGTGCTTATTTCTCCTAAAAACTAGTGCTCATTTCTCTGAGATTTCTGGAGGGGAGAGAGATGTAATCAGCAGAGTGAGGGGGACAGTGGCCCAGTGCACACCAGCAGGGCTCTAAGTAGTTCCCATATGAAAGAGGATGTTAGTTGGAGGAAGGGAAGGTACCCCAAGCTTCCTGAGAACCAAAAGAGAGGTAGGGTGGGCTAATGATTGCCCTTCTGTCAGCTGTGGAGTGAACATGGCTAAACATGATCACAAACACTTGAAAACCCACACTACTGTCCCTGAGGAGCCCTCCCCTTGGCCAAGAATGCCAGTATCACATGGACCCAGAGCAACGCCAGTTCTAAAGGCAAAACCTTTCCCAGTCTCTCCTGCCCTGTACGAGAAGAGCTAAACTCTCAAAGAGGAAGAGGACAGACATTGGAGTTGACATTGCTTCAAACTGAATTATAGTAACTAAAGGACTGAAAAGTGCTAAGCTTGGTCTGACCACCCTCTTTGAAAGTGAAGTCCAGCCCCTCCTAACTCTGCTGAACCTTTTCATGTTCTGAAGCACTTTACATGTCCTGTCACTGATTATTTTTTTGCTTCTCACTTACTATCTCTCTGTCCCCCTCTAACAACTGTTCTATCTCAGAATGTTAACTCCACAGGAGCAAAGACCTTTGTCTTTAAGTAATGTTTTCCCAGCCAGAAGAACCATACTATTTATTTTGGTAATCCCTCACCACATGTGGCTACTTTAATTTAATTACAAAGAAATAACATTTTCAACTCAGTGTCTCAGCTGTACTAGCCCCATTCAAGTGCTCAATAGCTACGTATGGCTAGCAGTTACCATGCTGAGCAGATATAGAGCAGTTTCATCACTGGCAAAAATTCTGTTGAACGTCACTGATCTAGAAGCTGGCACATTGTGGCATTCTGTGAGTATTTGCAGGATGAAGTCCTGAGGTTTGTCTGTTTGCTTGTCTGTTCGCAGTGCTGAGAATGGAACCCAGGGCCTTTAACACGCTAAGCAACTGCTGAACCCCTGAGCTACACTCCCTGCCCCTGAGTTGTTAAAGACAAAATAGCCTAGTGCAGTGGTCCCTAATATTTTTAGTACCAGGGTCCAGTTTGTGAAAGACAATTTTTTTTCCAGACCAGAAGTGAAGGGCATGGTTTCAGGCAGATTCAAAGGAGCTGAAAACCTAGATCTCCCACATGCGCAATTCACAGTAGACCTAAGAGACTCTAATAGTGCTGCTGCCCATCTGACAGGAGGTGGAGTTCAGACGGTAATTAGGGCCACCATGAGTGGCTGCCAATAGAGATGAAGCTTCCCTCCCTCACCCACTGCTCACCTCCTGAGGTGCAGCTCATTCCTTGCAGTGGTCCACAGCCCTAGAGGATGGGGACGCCTGGTCTAGTGGATAAGAAAACATTAGTAACTCTGTTAGCTACCATTCTATTGCAGAGTTAAAATATCTAACCCAAACAACTTAAAGGAGGAAAGGTTTATTTTGGATCACCATTTTGGAAGTTTCAGTTCTTGGTCAGCTGGCTCCAAAGCAGAAACACCAAGGCAGAAGGCCCTGCTGGAGAAAAGCTGTCTACCTCATGGGAAAGAGATTAAATGCAGCATGGCTGAAAGTAAAGATTGGGAAAAAATAAAAACCACTCACATCCTCCACCAAACTAAAAGCCCTTAATAAGGTCATTAGAGAAGACAAAGGAATAGGCATTTTTAGGTGTAAGACATTAGAGTCAGCTTGAGATAACATGTATTTCCATATTTGTATGCAATTTCACTGTAACACCTGTGAACTTGTTATCACATCAAAACAAAAATATGTTCAATCTTCTTCTTTTTTTTTTTTGCTGTACCAGGGATCAAATTCAGGAACTTGTATGGCTCCACTGAGCTAAATCCCTGGCCCTATTCTTCTTATGTAAAGCTTTTGCAACACTATAGCTTCAAATTTCATAGTTTGCCCAAATTACTTTATCCAACCAGCCAATTTACTGAGTTTATTTACTATGTACCCACACCTTGGAAATTGCTGTGCCAAGAAATACGTGCATCCACTTCTGTTGGGGAGATGAGCTGTCCACCAATAATGAGTTGACAAAGGGCTGTGTAACCTGGCCTCTGTATAACCTAGAACATAAAAAAATGTCATTATAAGTTCATTAAAACTTAATGATCAGCTTTTTCCCAATGGGTTTGCCATGAGAGCACAGGTGTAGTGAAAACCACCTCTAAATCAAAGCCAACAAGGGAAAGGAAAAGACTCATATCAATATCGTTGTCATTGGACATGTGAATTCGGGCAAGTCCACCACTACTGGCCATCTGATCTACAAATGTGGTGGCATCAACAGAAGGACCACTGAAAAATTTGAGAAGGAGGCTGCTGAGATGGGGAAGGGTTCTTTGAAGTATGCCTGGGTCTTTGATAAACTGAAAGCTGAGCAAGAGCATAGTATTGCCATTGACCTCTCACTGTGGAAATTTGAGACCAGCAAGTATTATGTGACTATCATTGATGCTCCAGGACACAGAGACCTTATCAAAAACATGATTACAGGCACATCTCAGGCTGACTGTGCTGTCCTGATTGTTGCTGCTGGTGTTGGTGAATTCAAAGCTGGTATCTCCAAAAACTGGCAGACCCGTGAGCATGCCCTTCTGGCTTACATACTGGATGTGAAACAACTCATTGTTGGAGTTAACAAAATGGATTCCACTGAGCCACCCTACAGCCAGAAGAGATACGAGGAAATTGTCAAGGAAGTCAGCACCTACATTAAGAAAATGGCCACAACCCTGACACAGTAGCTTTTGTGCCAATTTCTGGCTGGAATGGTGAATACATACTGGAGCCAAGTGCTGACATGCCTTGGTTCAAGGAATGGCATCCTGTACAGATGGCAATGCCAGTTGCACCACACTGCTTGAAGCTATGGATTGCATCTTGCCACCCACTCACTCAACTGACAAGCCTTTGTGTCTGCCCCTCCAGGATGTCCATAAAATTGGTGGTATCAGTACTGTCCCTATGGGCAGAGTGGGGAATGGTGTTCTCAAACCTGGCATGGTGGTCACCTTCGCACCAGTCAGTGTCACCACTGAAGTAAAGTCTGTTGAAATGCACCACGAGGCTTTGAGTGACGCTCTTCCTGGTGATAATGTGGGCTTCAGCGTCAGGAACGTGTCTGTCAATGATGTTCGTCATGGCAACTTTGCAAAAATGACCACCAATGGAAGCAGCTGGTTTCACTGCTCAGGTGATTATTCTGAACCATCCGGGCCAGATCAGGGCTGGCTGTGCCCCTGTACTGCATTGCCACACAGCTCACAGCAAGTTTGCTGAGCTGAAAGAGAAGATTGGGTCTGGTGAGAAGCTGGAAGATGGCCCCAAATAAATGCTATTTTTCTTGATCACTTAAATAATGTTAGGCCTCTTATGTGCCTTATTTTTTATAGTTAAATCATAACTGAATTAACTTTGTCACAGCAAAGAGGGTTTAAAATGTTATATGTGTACCCTACTAAGAAATGTAAACATCTGGGCTGACAATGTATCTCAGGGGCAGTGTACTGTACTTGTCTAGCATGCATGAAGCCATGGACTTCATCCCCAGCACTGCGAAAAAGAAAATATGTGTGTGTGTGTGTGTGTGTGTGAGAGAGAGAGAGAGAGAGAGAGAGAGAGAGAGAGAGAGAGAGAGAGATACAAGCATTTAATTGTTAAATATTGACCATAAATGATGTGGCAGGGACTCTTCTAGGCTGTAGGGATAAAGTAGTGAAGCAAGCCGAGAGCGGTCCCTGAACTCTTGCAGCTTCCATTCCAATGGGGAAGCTGACAATACATAAGTAAACAATTGAAGGAGATCTAGAAGCCCAGATGTCTTAGTTACTTTTGTCTTGTTACTTAGACAAAAGCCCTGGCAACTGGAAGTTAAAGGAGAAAAGGTTTCTTTAGCTCACAGTGTGTAGAGATTTCAGTCCGTAACCAGCTGACTCCGAGGCAGGGTGGCATGGCAGAAGATAAACAGCTCATGGCGGGCAGAAGGTAGCAAAGTAACAAGGCACGACCACAGCTCTTTCTATCCTTTATATCTCATCTAGGTTACTTAGGGCAGGTAGTACTCACACCCCTAATCCTAGTGCCCTTGATCCTAGCATTGCACCATGAATTGATTCCAGTGTCACGCACTCTAGATTCAGACACCTCTGAAAAAGCCCCGCCTCTGACTGCATAAGGCTTTGGGGGACATCTAGCCACAAGCTATAACATCCACCCTGATATGTCCCAAATCCACAAGACAGGATCTATCATCAGGCATTTTATGAGTGTATTGAGTGAATGGCAGAAGATGATTTCAGAAAGTGCTGAGTGCCGGGAAGACAGGGACACAGGGCAGCACAACAGAGTGGCAAGGCTGGCTTCTCTGGACCTTGAGCACTGCCAAGAAAGGGACTGTGGAACTAAATTGGAATAACACAAAGGAGAGACAATCTTTGGGGAAATACTCCAGAGAAAAGATTATTACATGCCAGAGATAAGGGTTCCATTATAGGAATGTGTTATACCTGTGCAAATCAGAAAAAGGGCCCAAGCTGTTGGACCGTAGTGAGCAAGGGGAGGAGGCCACGTCACTGGGCTGGGTGTGAGTGTTTCCCAAATTAACCCACCCCATTGCAGCAGGCTCACTGACTCCCATCACAGAAAAATAATGCTCAGGATGCATCAGAAAGAGGCATGAGTAGGGTGGATTAGGCAAGGTTAGAGATTATAGGACACACTCAGGATTGAGGGTGGGGGCTCAAAGAAATGAAATGCATTAGAGTTTGGAACTGGGTACATTTATCCTTTTTTAAACATTTTTTTATTAAAGATTGCAAAGATACATGATAACAAGAAACGACGATACTAAATAAAAATTTCAAATATACGTATATATGACAGCAAAAAAGGATATGAAATAAACAAGAATTTATGTAACAGACTAATTGAAATACATTAGTTTGATATGATCTTCAAACATTATGTTCTTTCTCATTTGCTTATAATATTTTTGAAATAATGCAATTATAAATAAAACAAAGTTACATATTATAGTTGAGAAACTTTCCTCAAAATTTTATGATTTATAAACTCCTTGGTTTAATTAATTGATAAATATCATATACTTGTTGATTGTACCACTTACACTTTCTAACAAAACTTCCCACAGAAAAAAATATACTTATATTTGAAATCCAAAAGCAACTAAAAAAATTCACATTTTTAAGATCAGATTTTTCTGTTTCTATTTTATTATATCCCATACTTATTTTTATATTTTTATAAGCATAATGATAGAATTTAACACCAATAGATATGTAATATTCTTCCGAAATGAATGACTATGAAGTCAAGTGTGTAATTTAAAAAAATCATAAGGTTGCCAGAAAAACTATCAATATGCCAAATGTGCACAATCCTACCACATTCATGCCCATGTTTCTCATTTAATAGTGCACACATATATGTAAAAACATGTCCCCCACACATATACGCAATGTATATTTCCTACAATACAATATATACTTAGGTATAATAAAATAGCACAGTGATGTGTGGAATGTTGCTGATTTGTATAATTTGAGAAAAAAAAATATCATGTTTGAAGGAGTTGAAGAATTTGTAATATGTATCAGATACTAAATGATATTAATAATTAAGTATAGTTATAATAAAATTTACTTAAAAATTAATATTTGTCATCAGCAGAAAATAGGTACAAAGATATATTGATAACATAGGAACATTTATCTTAACAAATTTCCACCCAAACAAGCTTTAGTGACAGAAAAGGAAGTTTGTAGAAAGCAGAGATGAAAGAGGAAAATGACAGATGGGCCTTAATACTTTTCATACTACTCATATATACAGATTTCATAAATTCTCAAATGAAAAAGCAAAGAAAACGAGAACCAAAATAATTCATCAATTTGGTAGACCAACATATAGAGATAAGGATTAATGTATTGATAAATTTAAAAAATATGAAATGTAAAGCCTGAGATTTAGCTCAATACTGCTGCACCTGCCTAGCCAGAACAATGTGCCGAGTTTAATCCCCACCATCAGAGGAAGAAAAAGAAAAAGGAAAAAAAAAAGAAGAAGAAAAGAGGGGAAAAAAGCATATATACTTTCTGACATACTCAATAAATTAAAAATAAATTATTTGTTATATCTTCCTCTTGAATTGTTCCCTTCACAAGGATGTAGTGAACTTCTTTGTCTCTTTCAATCAGTTTAAATTTGAAATTTACTTTGTCTGTGAATAAAATTGCTAGCCCTGCTTTTTGGTTGGGGGGGGCTCCTGTTACATGAAGAAGTTTTCTGTCCTTTCACTTTCAGTCTATGGGCTTCTTTTTACACTAGACGTGTCTTGAATACAACATATTATTGGATCTTGCTTCTTAATCCATTCTGCCAGTCTATTTCTCTTGATTGGTGAATTGAGGCCGTTAATATTGATGGTTATAACCGATATATACTAATTTATTATTATCATTTTTTTTCACCTTCTCCTTTTAGTTTCTTGGCTTGCCTATTTGATTTGCTCTGTTGGGCCTCATTGTGTTGTTACCTTCATTGTCTTTTTCTAGGATATTGTTTAGAATTCGTTGTAGTGCTGGTTTTGTATTAATAAAGTTTCTCAGGTGTTCTTTATCCTGGAAATATCTTACTTCCCCATCCATTTTATAAGAAAGCTTTGCAGGATACATCAGCCTAGGTTGGAGGTTGTTTTCTTTTAGTACTTGAAATATCTCATTCCAGGCTCACCTTAACCTAGGGGTTTGTATTAAAAAGTCTGCTGTGATTCTGATGGGCTTTCCTTTGCATGTAATTTGTTTCTTGTCTCTTACTGCCTGTAGTATTTTGTTGTTCTGTTGGGTTTCTGGGATCTTGATTATTATATGTCTAGGTGTAGATTTTTTTTGATCACGGCTAGTTGGAGTCCTATATGCCTCACTTATCTGTATTTCAAATTCTTCCCTTCTATTTGGGAAGTTTTCTATAATTAATTCTGTGAACAGCTTTTTTAAGTCATTTACATTTTCTCCTATTACTTCTTGAATTCCTATCAATCTTATGTTATTCTTCTTAGTATCATCTAGGAGTTGTTGTATCAATTTCTCATGATCTCCTACTGTTTTTAAGAGATCTCTCTTTTCACTGTCACTGACTGCAATTTTATCTTCTATATCTGAGATTCTATCTTCAGACTCTTATTCTTTTGTGAACACTCTCAATGGAGTTTTTAATCTCCTGGATATCTGTTTGAATCTGTCCTATGGATACCATTTCTTTCTTGTATTGTGCATTTATTGTTTCCAATTCTTTCTTATGCTGGGCATTCATGGCTTCTATCATGGTCCTGAGCTCATCTATTTTCCTCTCAGTTTCTGTTCTAGAGTCACGAATTATAACTTTCATTTTGCTTGTCATCTCTATGATTATCTGGGAAATTACTTCGGTTTTATATTTCTCTAGAACCTGATTGATCAGTTTTGTTACTTCCTGTGCTTTGAGTTCAGGGTATCCTGATGATTCATTATCAGACTTTTCATCCTCATTTGCCCCAGTATTTGCCATTGGTGAACTGGAAGTCTGTCCCTGTATCTTGCTTAAGCATTTTCTCATTTTTACTATTGTTGTTGGGTTATCCTTAGTTTTTAACCTTTAGATTATTACTTAAATCTTCCTGATATAGTTGGGCTACAGCCCATGGGTCTCTAATGACTCATAGACACTCTCATTTTCATCATACTGAAGAAAATAGCTCATTGAATCAATCACAATCCTTTATCCTAATTAATACAATCAGCACCACAACATAATGAAGCATAATTTGCAAATTGACCACTTATGGTAGTCATCAATATATCACCTTCAAACCATGTAAATTTAATTAAGATCAAGAAGCAATCCAAAATACGCTTACAGTAAATAAACTTTTCAATAAGGATATTTACCATTTACAATGGCGGCTTAAAACAAAATTAAGACAAGAGTAGGTAAGTATAATAATTAGAGAAGGTTTCATATGAAGCCAAAGACGTAGAATGACCAGACAGTCGTCAGGAAATTGTTAAATTCAAAAAGAACAAACAAACTAGCAATATAGTAACCCTTGAGTGAGGTAGAATAACATAAGAAAAGAACATAAAGAAAAGAGAAAAAAATAATAAAAGGAGAAATCTGAATTAGGATAAGAGCAGAAACAAAAAGAGAGATGAGGGATACTATAGTGGAGTAAGAGACTGAGTTAGAGAAAGAAAACAAACAGAAAAAAAAAGAATTTGCAGAGTAGGATGAAAAAAAGAAAGAAACAAAAATGAGTTTAAAGGGCCTCTTTCAGACTATATCACTGCTGTCATAATATACAATACGTGATGCCATTTGCAGAGCTGAGTCCCCTGACCTCAGCTAGCTGGTGGCAGAACCACAGAGCAGACTAAGCTCGGGCTGGGCTGCAAGGCCCAGACTGAGTTCCCCGACCTCCTAAAGGGCTGAACTCCACTCAGCTCTACTATAAGTTCCACCACCACTTCTTTAAAGATATTCAAAGTTGAAAGTGTCAGAAAATACTCTTTATGACCACCTCTGACTCTACAGAATAGGTCCAAAGACTGGTACAATCAGGAGGTCTAAAACGCGAGGGGGAAGGTTGGGGGGGATCAGGGGTGCCCGTGTGGCTACCTTTCTAGTGCCGAAGATGGTGGGAACTCCACTGGGGAGCGCATGGTGGAGAAGACCCTCTGGCGCTAAAGATGGTGGATGCCCATTTATACATTTTTTAAGGGGATGAAATGTCTGGGAAGAAAATGCCCATACCTTTGCCTCTTCCACGGACATGGGTGTTTTTGTTTTATTTTGTTTTGTTTGTTTTTATAGGTGATTTAAATATTCTCTGGATTCATTTAGCCTTTTGCTTACTTTTTTAATTGGGCCAATTTATGGCCTTCTGGTGGACTGTTGACATGGGCTTGTCCTGATCTCAGGGTCTGGCTCTTATTCATTACTTTCTTAATCGAGCCAATTTATGGCCTTTTAGTGATGGGTCTGGTAGGGAAAAGGTGTAAATCTAGCCAAGGAACATTGGCATGGGACTGTCTTGGGTGACTTCAGCTGAGTCCTGGACGTTGCAGTCTTCTTACTAAGTACAATTTATAGTTATGATTTCCTTGTCTGCCTTCTACCTATCTTTTATTTCTTCAATCCTATCTCAGTCAGAGTAGCAGCAAATCTTGGTCATTCCAGGAATTTAAACTAAGGCAAGAAATCTTATCATTATTCTAGGTGCAATGGGAAGCTAGTTCAGAATTCTGGACAGGTGAAAAAGATGATATGAATTCATTTTGATTTCTACAGTAGCTTTCTACTGATTCTCTAACAGATCCACCACTGGAAGGTCATACATTGGCCCAATTAAAACTGGGTGGTGGGCCAGGGATTTAGCTCAGTGATTCTGCCACCTGCCTCGCAAGTGCAAGGACCTGAGTTCAATCGCCAGTACCAAAAATAAATAAATAAATAAATAAAAAATAAAGACAGGATGGAAAAAGAATTGTAGTAAGAATGGGTGGGAGGGCACCAGTTAGGCAGCTACTGAAATAGTCCAGGCTGGAGACAATGGTCACCCAGACTGAGGCTCTAAAATGATCAGGGAAAGGACAATTAGAATCCAGCAATGAGTGCCAGGCATTTGTGAGTCACTGGCACAAGAGTGTAAGTACAGACAAGTACACACAAATGATACACCTATTATGTAACATGAGGTTTTTTTTTTCCCTCCAGAAGGCACTTGAATATTATAAATGTTTCTAAGGGTCCACATGAATTAACACACAAGGCTGAGAAGAAGTTTCTGAGGGCATAATTTGAGAGGACCAAAAAAGCAAAATGAAAATAAGAGCTCAGCTAAAACTATAGCCTTTGATTATTGAGATTCAAAAGCACCTCTTTCAAAAGTTAAATTTTCTTGGGAAAGCTAATATAATAAGCCTGCAAAGTGGGCTTTTATGCATGCATGTCAGTTTAACTACACAGCTGTCCTCTTGGTGGGTAGATGCGAGAAAGGCTGTTTGACAGGTAAGAAATAGAAGGAAATGCCTAAATTAGAAAGGAGCTTGTGACTAGTACACCAAGCCAGGGTGGGACCAAAAGCAAGGAGGCTCTGAGAAGTCATAAGGCAACATGGAAATGGGCCAGGACTCAGGAACAGAAGAGGATGAATACAAAAAGGTAAGAACCTAGAGACATTTTGGCTTGAGGACAATTCTGCCTGCTAGCATCTCAGTTGCCGCCAAAACCCATTTGCAACATGTTGTTTCAGCCTACTTCTATGTCATATGTTATGCAATTCACATTAGCATGACACTATCCTGGTCTTTGATGAACAACCCAAAGCAATTTTACATATAAATATACTGAGACTAAGCCATCTTACATATATGGAAGAGAGGCAAGTATCTAGACAGCCAACTCTGAAAAGCAAAAACCCACTTTCTCTTTGTCCCATTTCCAGAATGTGCTGGGGGCTCCCTAGCACTCCCAACTCCCCATTTTGAACTTTGGGCACTAAAGGCCTCCTGCAAAGGCTAATGTGATCTGGGAATCTTCTTCACCTGGTGACTTCTTCGCATCCCAGAGGAGCCTACATGTGTTCCCAGGCACCTACATTGCATGTCTTGTTGGTCACCCATTACTTATATAACTGTGATCCCTACCCCATCATCAACCCCAAGGCAGGGAAGTCCTACTCCAACCAAAACTTCATTTTCATATAGTGTTATTCATTACACTACATTATTACTATATTATAATATCCTCTCTTTTAATTTTATGCAAATATGCGTAGATATTCATCTGTTTTAACTGTATTTAATCCTATAGTTTGTCCTGGTTATACAGCCAGACTAGCTGGGAGTATATATACAGGGAGAAAGATAGAAAGTCCCTATCACAGAAGATGCAGAGATAAAACAGCTCTTACTCCACTTAGGATAAGAAGAAATACTGTGGTGTGTTGCCACCCATACCACCCCTTACACCAAAACTCATGACAAGTTTCATCTCACATGAGCCCATCTGGCACCAGTCTCTCTGTATTTCTGTGCCTTTGTAAAAATTGTTCACCATAATTCAGTATTTGCTCTAGTGAGACCAAGTAAATTGAAGAATTTCAATTTTGGGTTATGGATAAGTAGGTTTGATTCTGCCGTCAGACAACCCAGATGGTGTGGAGAAAATTAAATGAGATAAAGATGCAAACTGCTAAATACGTAGCAATGGCAACTAGTACGTGGGGTGTGTGTGTGTGTGTGAGAGAGAGAGAGAGAGTTTAGAGATTGAGCTTTCACACCAAGATGTATTCCAAGCCTATTTTAAAATCTTTTATTCTGAGGGAGGTTCTCATTTTATTTTGAGACTGGGCTCGAACTTGTGAGTCTCCCAGACTTGCCTCAGCCTCCCAGACTTCTAGGATTACAGGCCTGTCCCACAAGACTCAGCTTAGTTTTGTTGTTGTCATCATTACCACATTGCAGGTATCTATGGTACCTCTTAATTTTGTGGAAAATAAAATTTCATGTACTTTTTTATATAGAGGTGTTGAAAGACAATTCTGAGTTTGATTTTAGGAAAAACAGTTTGCATATAAAGTGTATTGATCATATGAAATAGAAGTATGAAATTATAAACCCTAGATATGCAACAACAGTCTACTAAATCCTGAAAATAAAATGTGAGTCATATGGTTTAAAGGATTATTGGAGCTGGGTATGGTAGTATACTCCTGTAATACCATCTACTGGGGAGGCTAAGGCAGCAAGATCCCAAGTTCAAGGTTAGCCTGAGCACTCTAATGAGACCCTGTCCCAAAGTTTTAAAAAATGTAAAGGACTGGGGATATAGTTCAGTGGTAGAATGCCCTTGGGTTCAATCCCCTGTACTGTTTATGTGTGTATATACATATA